ATTATTGAGGGGTTAGTCAATTTTGGAGGCGAAAAAAGACAAAGAAACACAAACGAAACACAGAATTGATCGATTATTCCATATTTCATCTAGTATTCATAACTTTTATGTTTAAAATAATATTTTGATTATTGTCATGAATATGAGTGACTAAGAACCTCATTATTCTGGGGTTATGAGTCGTTATTGACTATTGTAGTTTGACGGTTTTATTATTTTGCTTGACTTATCATATGAATTTGCTTATTCAATCTTGCAATTAATTATTCTATTGTATAGCTAATAATAGAGTACTATCTACGAATTTATAGTTGAACTCGAAAGTGGGAACTATAGATTGCATATAAGATTGAATAGAGTAAGTTCTTGAATCTGGGCATTGGAGAATGGATTCGTGATTAGGATAAACATATTCTAGTTGCCTTACTTGGTTACTTTTGCAGGAAATACACATGCGTTCACGTTAACTCTGATTCTATAGACATATAGTCTTAGGTTGGCTAGAATAGGCGAGCGAAGCATCGAAAGAACTTCACGAGCAAAATAAACCATGTTAATCAACAAATTAGATAAATCAAGTGATTAAATCAACTGGCGAATGCAATAGGAGAGACATTAATCCCATAACCCCAGAATATTCCCACCTCATTGAATTCTTTCTAAGTGTTTATTTGTTTGCTTTGCACCTTTGAAATGTTAGCTTGTTTAGTAATTTCGTATTGATTTTTAGTCATAAAAATCACAATCACCTTCTTCACAACCACTTGAGCAATAAATTTATAAAGAGTTTAGATTGGACAATAGTGATGATAAATCTGCGTAGGAACGATACTTTCTCATCACTTTATTATTTGTCGATCGCGTATACTTTTGTGTGCGTTTGGACCCAACAGTTGATTATTATAATGTGATATCGATACGCATGAGGCGGTATAAGGATAGGGGTTAATGTGCATGCGGCGACATAAGATGAGATTTATACGCGTGTTGCTAGTAAGGGAATTACTTGAAGCCACGCTATGAGATAAGGGGGTTAAAGCATGTGTAGCTATTTCGAAAAATATATTTTTAAAAATAAATGCAAGGCTCACGCGAAGACATAAGGAAGAATGTGATTGTGGCTTGTGAAATGTGATTTTGAAGCATGGTACCTCGGTTGTGATTCTTATTGTACATTCTATATTGGAACGGCTCGTTGATTGGATGGTTATTGTTTTTCCTTAAAATATTTCACTTGTATTTTGATTGTATTTGGTTATTTGTTGATATTCTTGTGTTGAAACCATTGTGACTTCTTGTGCGAGTCATGCATTCTATGTGATTTGTTGTGTTGCTTTAATATGCCAATATGTGCCTCCATTGTTACTTGATAAATTGCTTGTCAAGATGAATTTACTTACGTTGAGCCATTATCTCATATTCTGTTGAGTTGTTGGTAGCATAACGGCATCAAATAAAAGAATTATTAACATGCTTTATTTTATGTGACTTTTAATATAGAACTCATTCTCTCTCGGTGGTTTACTATTTTTAAATGGTTATCACATTTTACTTTAATTGAGTTCTCAAATTAAATTCATTACCCCATTTGATGTTTTACTTCACTTAAAATTGTTATCACGCTTTACTTTAACAAATTGTATATTTAATTCATTAACTCATTTGATATTTTACTTTATTTTTAAAACATTATTTCACTTTACCTGATTGATATCTAAACTAAACTCATTTGATACTCCATTTTTGTATAAATTATACTTTATTTTACTTTATCTGATTTTAAAATAAACTCATTATCTCATGCCTTACTTTATTCAAGATTGTTATTATGCCTTATTATATTTAAATAAATCTCTCGAATGTTTTATTTGGCATTTGACATGGATACAATGAACATGGTTGCACGTGGACTTTGTCGTGCGAAGGTGGCTGATAATTTGGGCACGATGTGCCATGTGTGTATGATTCGGGATTGTGGCTTATGATATGTGATTACGAGGTGTGGTGCCTCGGGGTAACTCTTATTGTAAGTCATGCGTTGAGAACGATTTGGTTACTTGAATTGTCGTTTACTCCATTAATTGAGTTCATTCATATTTCATCTGCATTCTGATTATCTTGCGGCTTTATTACCCGTTTACTTCTTGCTGCCATTTGTATTTCTATTATTCCATTATTGATTGTATATCAATAATCTTTTTGATGTTAACCTTACATTGATGTTCTTTCCATTGTTAGCTTTATGTTAATATCTTGTACATGTTTCTATGTCTAGTAGGTGTCTTGACCTAGCCTCGTCACTACTCTACCAAGGTTAGGCTTGATACTTATTGGGTACCGTTGTGGTGTACTCATGCTACGCTTCTGCATATTTTTTTGTGCAGATCCAGGTACTTCGGATCGCATTGGATTTAAGAGTTGTGTTTGTGCGGTTGGAGACTTCAAATTATACTTGTCGTTTCGTTCACAAGCCTCAGAGTCACCTCCTGATATTATCTTTGCTACTGTTTATCTTTGTTCCAAAGCAGTATTGTACTTAGAAATTCTAGTGTATCTCAGTAGAGCTTATGAATCTGTACTACCGGTTCTAGGGATTGTATAACTATTGTTCAGCTTTAGTTACGTTATTTTATATTTATCAGTTTAATTCTTATATAGTTGAGAGATTCTAGTGTATCTCAGTAGAGCTTATGACTCTGTACTACCGGTTCTGGGGATTGTATAACTATTGTTCAGCTTTAGTTACGTTATTTTATATTTATCAGTTTAATTCTTATATAGTTGAGAGATTCTAGTGTATCTCAGTAGAGCTTATGACTCTGTACTACCGGTTCTGGGGATTGTATAACTATTGTTCAGCTTTAGTTACGTTATTTTATATTTATCAGTTTAATTCTTATATAGTTGAATTGGTTATTTCTGTTAGATCTCTTCATGTACTAAACTTACCTAATCTTGGAGACTAGGTGCCATCACGACATCCTAAGGTGAGAATTTGGGGTCGTACAGTTCACAAGTTTGACTGAGAGTTGACTTTGGGGCTACTGGGGATTATTGTTCTGGGAATTGGAATAGGTCATTTCATCAGTTGATATTTTTGTGCAAAGTTCGGGTTCATTTCGGATTGGTTAGGCTTGAATCGGATGATTGGTTTGAAGTTGAAGTTTATGAACTTAAGAGATTGATCTTCATCGACAATTCTTAGTTTTGATGTTATTTTTAGTATTTTTAGCCTTTGGATAAGTTTGGAATATGTATTTATATTGGTTGGTATAATTAGACTAAGTCCTGTGGGGCTCGGGTGATTTTTGGGAGTGGTTTATAACTATTTCGGAGTTTGCATTGATTGTTGGTTCAGGTACACCGCACCTGCGGAGGATTGGTCGTAGATGCGAAGTCGCACCTACACATAAGGTATTCAGCTATTTTATTCATTGCTTATTGATGATATTTCATTCGAGTTGTGTTATTTGTTGTTTGGCTTACCTAGCGAGTTGGATTAGGTATCATCACGACTTGGCGGAATTTTGGGTCATGACAAATTGTGTAAGTGCATTTTATTTGTTTTGTCTGTTACTAAAAATATTATTGATACGAACAGTTTTTATTTTAATTTTTTATTCCGATCGATCATCTCTTTCATTATTCAATCTTATTAATTTATATGCTTGATTAATGATGCTTTTTATTTTTTTCAATTAGATTTATTTGTTCTATAGTAAGTCTATGAACATAAATTTAAAACTGAGAAATAGTAACATGATATTAAAAAAAAAGTCAAGAAAGATACGAACGTTGAGAATATAAAGGGGTAAAATAAGCATTTTAGAAAACTCAATTGAGATAGGAGGGGAATAATGTCTATTATTCAAATTTGGAGCGAGAGTTTATGTTTTAAAGCAAAGTTCGAGATTATAAATTATATTCAGCCATTTTCTTTTTTCTTGCTCATAAATACTATTACTTGTAATAATATGACATTATTTGTTAGCAACAATTGACGGAGAATATAAACGTTTTAACGTGGTTTATAGACGCGTGAATTAATTTGATCGAGAAATATAAAATAAACAGGAACAAAAGTAAGATTATGAATTAAATTTAAAGGAAATACAAGCCTGGTTATGAACTTAGCCTCTCCGGTAACAGAAGTGAGAACAATATTCAAGAATAAAGACGAAAAATAGTATTATGAGATGAGAGTTGGCTTAAGCTTTTGTGTACAGAATGTTTTGTGTCCACGCTAATTCTTCTATTTATAGCTTTATTTTGAGAGACAAGTAACCAAATCAAGCTCCTCTTAAATGAGAATAAAACCGTCATTGATGGATGCATAACAATTGGCTATAAATGCAAATGTTCTTTGTAACGGCTGCTCATTGTATACTAATCGGTGTCAATTCTTTGAATCTTTATCATCGGCTACTCTGTCTTCGAGATTCATCTAACATCAGTCAAATGCTTGCAACCGGCATCTACTATTTGCTAACTCACATCCTACATGTCTTCAGCTTCATGTGTCACCTCTTCATTGTCATTAACTAATTTTACCGCATACAGTTTTTAATTATGAGTAATATTTACTACTAATTCTGACCACTATATGATGAGCCTTTCCAATTGAAATGACTCTTCATCGAGAGGCAATGCTTATTTTTTGCATATGTATTTAATTAGTGCTTAAACATTTTATTTTCCAACTTCTTTAGTACTTTTCCCTGACTTACTTTAATTGGGTATAGTTGATATTATTGTATGACTTACATTATATATATTTTTATATTATAAACTATATTATAACTTTTAATTCCAACAAAGAACCGATATGAAGTTGGACAGACGGCAATTCATCAATTATCGATTTGACTGTTTCACTCAATGAATTGCATCTCCTAATGGTCAATAACTGGAAAATACTAGTAATAGAAAGGCTTAATACACTGTCTTATTTTTGAAAGTACATAGGTAATGTCGACAATGAGAGGCAAGCTACAAAGGCACAAGATAAGAGTATATAACTATATGATCGACTATCACGTTAGTCATTGCCTCTTGGGGAAAATTGATAGTGGCATCTTGACGAGGTGATGTAAAGATCCCGTTAAAACAATTTGACCAAAAGTAAAGTCATCAAGAGGCTGGGTGACATTGAGTGTAATGTGCAAATGTTGGGTTCCTTGTGGAGCTATTTTAAACCAAGATGGTTGTATATCAACCATCACTCCTTTTGGTGGCAACACTGCACTAACATACGTCTCTGCTTTGCTTCCCACATTCATGACTGTCCGACGTACTAGTCGCGATCCATTAAGGGATGTTATTGTAATCGAAGGCAAATTTAGGTCCGATGGATTCTCAAATAACTCACCACAAACTCCTCCTGTTGCACTTTTCACTATTGCACTATCAATATTTGGTAAAGAACACAGGAAACTGATGTAATCCTCGTACCCTGTCTCAATAAGAATAAATAAATGAGATGAAAGATCAGCACTTTTGGTAACTCAACTTAGAATTTGTCATGTCAAATTGTTCCTTAAAAAAAACATCAACTTCAAATTGTTTACGTTCTAACTAATAAGAAAACATAATTATTTCTGTAGTCTTTGATCCCTGATCTTCAGCCAATTGTAATTTTCTTTTGCAAATTAGTAATTAGGATCTGTATTGTCCTTTTCTATCTTGAGCAGCTTCGCTCGTAATGGAATAGCATAACCATTTTTATCACTCAAGTCAAGGTGGACAATTCGTCACCATTAATCCAGCCACTCAAATTAACTGGAAGCAGCAACTACCTAACATGGAATGTATGATCTCACCTCATACATTCCTTGTCCACCGGCCATAGATCCTGAACGAAAAACTTGACTATTGCACCTCTGGTTGCCAACTGCTCATGCAGCTTGGACGAAACTTGCTCAACAATACGCAAGTAAGTCCCAATCACGACTCTATAGATTTCATACCTCACCAAATTATAGTACACTTTGTACATTCGGCTATTTGTGCTATCCTTGGCTACGTCCCTATTCTAATCATAATCTTGATCTTATGTCCAAGTCGTGTGTTCTTTGGGTATTCCACAAAATTACCAGTGTTTTGACCCATCCACTTCCAAAGTTTTTTCTTATCTCGCTATGTTGTTTTTATAGAAAATAATTTTCCCTTCTCTACCATGTTTCTTCTCCTACCTCGGATTTCCGAATCCACTCCTCATTCTTGACTTGATGTTATACCTACTGACCACACTCCACCTACATCATCAAAGACCACTACACCTATACTCACTCCTGATATCTCCTCAGTTCCCTCAATTCTACTCCCGTATCCATGCCATTGGATGTCATAATTTCACCACCCACTACTCCAGCTCCGCTCACTACAATAATATCAACAGTCTCATGTCCAACTGCTCCTATTCTGAAATTGAGTGAAGATGCCTCAAACTCTTCTTTGCAACAGGTAAATAGTCCACTTCAGCCACCAGCTCATGTAGTCACTCGGTCCCAGCACAATATCTTCAAACTGAAGAAACCACTTGATTATTCAGCTCTCTTAGAATCAGCAGGTCCTATTTTTTAGGATTTTGCCCTGAATTTCTAATCTATTAGGATTCCCTTTCTTGAAGGAAGGAAAAAAAACTCCTAAAAGGAATAAATCTCATTCATATGCATTATTCTTTTCTTGGAGGAGAAGTTTTGTACTTCTACAAATTGACGTTTTCTTCTCACAATAAGAACAACAACAATAGCATCCACAATGTAGTCATTAAAGAGTCTTGTTTAGGGGAGATTTTTCTCTCAATAGTTTTATATTTTTATACTAGTTTGCATTGTTAGCTTCCGCATGCGTCATGTTATTTAGATCCCAACACTATTGTGGCTCCTCGCACATATACAGAAGTAGTCCAGCATGGAAAGATCCAATGCATGAAGAAATTGATGCCCTTGTCCGCAACAAGACTTGGTCCCTCGTTCCTCCATCTGCAAACCGAAATATCATCGGCTGCAAGTGGGTTTTTCGGGTCAAACAAAAATCAGATGAAATCTAGATCGATTCAAAGGTTGGCTAGTTGCAAAAGGATTTCATCAGCGCCCTGGTATTGACTTCACCTCAACTTTCTGTCCAGTGGTAAAACCAACTACTATCCGTCTGATTCTCACTTTGGCCACATACTCCAAATGGCTTCTTTATCAACTTGATGTGAACAATGCATCTCTCCAAAGGTAAACTAGAGGATCAGGTTTACATTGAGCAACCCCCTAGTTTTGTCAACTCTAAGTATCTTACTTATGTTTGCAAACACCATAAGGCAATTTATGGTCTTCGCCAAGCCCCTAGTGCATGTTATAAGAAATTCAAGAATTTATTTGCTCTATTGGGTTTGTTGGTTCTAAGTCGGATACCTCACTTTTTACAATGCATGGTCTGACCTATGTTGTGTTTCTATTTTTCTATGTCAATGATATTATATTGACAGGTTCTTCTGATGCAAACGTACTTGAAGTGAATACAGCTCTAGCAGCCCGGTTTTCTCTGAAAGATCTACAGCCTCTTAGCTACTTTCTTTGTGTTAAGGTTTGTCATACATCTGCCGGTCTTCTCCTCTCACAAAGAAAGTATATTGCTTATCTTCTTCATCGATTCAATATGCTTGATGGCAAAGGAGTAAATTCCACTTGCAGCATTGCTCCACTCACACTTAATGATGGCACTGCACCCACGGATCAAAAGCATTATCGTCAAGTTGTTGGTGATCTTCAGTATCTTTCTATCACCCGTCCTGGTATATCCTTTGCAGTAAATCGCCTATCTCAGTTCATGCATCGTCCCACTCATTCACATTGGCAAGCTAGCAAGAGGGTTCTGTGCTATCTGAAAGCAACTGATTCTTATAGTCTGCTACTAGCACCTCATAAACCTCTCAATCTAGTAGCATTCTCTGACTCTGACTAGGGAGATGATCCAGATGGCTGGTGCTCCACCGGATCGAGCTTATATCGTGTTTCTTGGGGGTTCTCCATTTATCTGGTCATCCAAGAAGCAACTACAGTAGCTCGTTCCTCCACTGAAGCCGAATACAAGGCGCTTGCAAATGCCGCAGCTGAAACCAATTGGATTGTTAATCTCCTGAAAGAACTTCACTTCTCCATTTCAAACATTTCCATGGTCTGCTGTGACAATTTAGGTGCAACCTTTTGTCTCAAACCCAATCTTCCACAGAGGTCGCATGAAGCATCTTGTTCGGAAGCAAGTCAGGGACAAAACACTTGTTGTACGACATGTTCCTTCTCACAACTCGCTGATTCTCTTACCAAAGTGGTGCCTACAACAGATTTTTGTTGTGATCGGTCCAAGATAGGCGTCGTTCCCTCACCGCGTATCTTGCGGGGGCATAATAAGGAACCATAATTGCCTGCAAATTCTTTTTCTCAACATTATTTTCTGCAATCTGTAATCCCTGATCTTCAGACAATTAGTGATCGGGAATTGCATTTTTCTTTTGTCAATTAGTGATTAGGATCTGTATTTGTCTTTTCTATCTTGAGCAGCTTTACGATACTGTAATGGAATAGCATAACCATTTTTATCAAACTCTCCAAACCTCTTTAGAAATTTACCATTTGCTTTCTTGAGATGGATATATATAGAAATGTACTACAGATATACCTGCTGAAAAGATGAGACCGGGATGGAGAGCACGAGAGGGATTGACAAGGCCAGCACCAAAACCAAAAGGAGCAGAAGTGTATAAGGTGTAGAGATCAAATCCATGAGCCATAATGGGGTCCCCAAGATTGTCATAAGTGGTGGCTGTGGTTGACATTGCTGAAGCTACCATTGATGGTGTCCATGATGGATTATATTGCTTTATTAGTGCAGCTATTCCAGCAATATGAGGTGTTGCCATGCTTGTACCAGACATTAGGGCAAAATTATGTCCTGCATATATGATTATTATTAACTTTATACTAGAAGAGTAGTTATAAAAAAATTTAGCTAGAAACATATATAGATACCAGACAGAATGGGATTTAAAACACTCATGGGACTCCAAGCTGCCCAAATTTGGTGTCCAGGAGCCAAAATATCAGGCTTAAGTACATCAGTAGGATTTTTACTTTGATCAATGTAATCAGGACCCCTTGACGAAAATCTACTAACTATAGGAACTCTACCCTTGTAAGAAGCAATTCTTCCTTCACTTATGGCTGCTCTACCACCATATCTTACCACAAAACCATTCTTGTCCCTTACAGTTTCTCTTTCATAGTACTGCAATATATTCTGCAAATACAATTGATGAAGTTATATATATATATATATACTTGTAAATCTACTTGTTAATTAATTAGGTACAGCCAGACCTGGGTATCAGTAGTTTTTGGTATCATAATGCCAGGAGTAGCAAAAGGAATAGGCTCCGCTATGAAATCTCCATAAGTTGGATTTGCAACAAAAACAAACGCTTTGAATCCAATAAGGTTGGCAGTATGTATGATGCCCATAAGACTGGAATTCCCATTATAGAAACCAGCTGAAAATGTGCAAATCACAACACTGTCTTCCACAACAAGAGGGTCAAATGCCTCTGGGTATTGGCATTCATCCGCATTGAAAATTCTTGAAAATGTGCTATTTGTTTTTACCGCATCCTTAGCCAAAACCAGCTTATACTGAATCAATCCACCTCCAAATGTCGGTCCTACAAAAACACATAAATATCTTCTCTCCATTACTATATTTCTAGTTTGCTCTCATTTCTTAATACGTTATCAGCACGAAGTTCTAACCAACTGAGGTTATCTGCTTCATCCGAATTTTATCTTCTTCCTAAAAGAGGTAGTCAGTTTCTTTTCCGATTCAGGTATACATTCCTATGTTTATAACGTTTCTATTAGGATCTTCTTTAACCTGCAATTTAATTACCATATGCATAACTTGTTTTGAATATGATTATAATAATCATTGAGTGAAAACAATAAGTTTCGGTTAAATTGTTATTTCATTATATAAACTACGAAGAAGTTTAATCCTATACATAAATAGATAAGTATTAAATTGAATTACAATAATTAGACTAATTATCAGAGCAACTGTGAGAGATTTATCGATGTGCATAAATTCCAGCGATTCCGTGAAGAGAAATCAGTCACCGGAAGTCTTTTTCCGACGACTTTTTCAAGGTTGTTTGCGTCTGCTTTATCTCCGTCAGTGTTGTGCAAAATCCAACACTATCACAAGAGTAGTCATTGTCCAGCGACCAAACCCCAGTAAAACTCTCCGGCAGAAGCCTCCTCATGCGCCCCCACGCGCCGGCGCGTACGCCCACTTCCGGCCATTTTTTGAAAAGTCCCTTCAGAACAGTTGGGTCGTCTGGTAATTGCAATCCTACCCCTACTGCTTTCGGCGCGTACGCCCACTTCCGGCCATTTTTTGAAAAAGTCCCTTCAGAACAGTTGGGTCGTCTGGTAATTGCGATCCTACCCCTACTGCTTTCGGCGCGTACGCCCACTTCCGGCCATTTTTTGAAAAAGTCCCTTCAGAACAGTTGGGTCGTCTGGTAATTGCGATCCTACCCCTACTGCTTTTGTCTCATTCCGACCACTTTGAGTTTTTTCCATCAGCTACAGTAGATTTCGGCAGCTACAGTAAGCTTCCGGCAGCTACAGTAATTCATTATTATGTTTCAGTGTTTCCTTACTCTGTTTCAGTGGATTACAGTTGATTTTTTCTCTTATTTGGTAATAATTTGCAACGATGTCTTTGGGATTTGATATTTTTGGGTCTAAAAACATTAGTTCTGGAAGCTCTAGTGTTATGATTACCTCGTAACCTTTAATGGGAAGTTCAAACTACTTAGCTTGGGCTTCATCTGTCGAGTTGTGGTATCTTGACCTAGCCTCGTCACTACTCTATCGAGGTTAGGCTTGATACTTATTGGGTACCGTTGTGGTGTACTCATGCTACACTTTTGCATATTTTTTTTGTGCAGATCCAGGTACTTCGGATCGTGTTGGATTTAAGAGTTGTGTTTGTGCGATTGGAGACTTCAAAGTATACCTGCCGTTTCATTCACAGGCCTCGGAGTCACCTCCTGACATTATCTTTGCTACTGTTTATCTTTGTTCCAAAGCAGTATTGTACTTAGAGATTCTAGTGTATCTCAGTAGAGCTTATGACTCTGTACTACCGGTTCTGGGGACTGTATAACTATTGTTCAGCTTTAGTTACGTCATTTTATTTATCAGTTTAATTCTTATATAGTTGAATTGGTTATTTCTGTTAGATCTCTTCATGTACTAAACTTACCTAATCTTGGAGACTAGGTGCCATCACGACATCCTAAGGTGAGAATTTGGGGTCATGACAGTTCACAAGTTTGATTGGGAATTGACTTTGGGGCTACTGGGGGAATATTGTTCTGGGAATTGGAATAGGTCATTTCATCATTTGGTATTTTTGTGCAAAGTTCGGGTTCATTCCGGATTGGTTAGGCTTGAATCAGATGATTAGTTTGAAGTTGAAAGTTTATGAACTTAAGAGATTGATCTTCATCGACGATTCTTAGTTTTGATGTTATTTTTAGTATTTTTAGCCTTTGGATAAGTTTGGAATATGTATTTATATTGGTTGGTATAATTGGATTGGGTCCTGTGGGGCTCGGGTGATTTTTGGGAGTGGTTTATAACTATTTCGGAGTTTGCATTGATTGTTGGTTCAGGTACACCGCATCTGCGGAGGATTGGTCGTAGATGCGAAGTCGCACCTACACATGAGGTATTCAGCTATTTTATTCATTGCTTATTGATGATATTTCATTCGAATTGTGTTATTCATTGTTTGGCTTACCTAGCGAGTTGGATTAGGTGTCATCACGACTTGGCGGAATTTTGGGTCATGACAAATTGTGTAAGTGCATTTTATTAGTTTTGTTTGCTACTAAAAAAATTATTGATACGAATAGTTTTTATTTTAATTTTTTATTCTGATCGATCATCTCTTTCATTATTCAATCTTATTAATTTATATGCTTGATTAATGATACTTTTTATTTTTTTCAATTAGATTTATTTGTTCTATAGTAAGTCTATGAACATAAATTTAAAACTGAGAAATAGTAACAATAACAACAACAACAACCCAGTAAAATCCCACAAGTGGGGTATGGGGAGGGTAGAGTGTACGCAGACCTTGCCCATACCCCAAGGGGTAGAGAGGTTGTTTCCGATAGACCCTCGGCTCAAGCAGACGAAAAAGACAATATATCAGTACCAACAGCAGAAAGCATAAAAATAATAACATAATCAAAAGTACCAGAAAATAGATGAAAAATAATAACAGTAGCACTTAAGAAAGGCTCGGTACTATGAATAGTGAAAGAGAAGTGTGGACACAACAATAACCACTAGCACTCTAGGACACAACCCTGTCAGACTAGCCTCTCACCCGGTGCGGAGTAGCAAAGAGCTCCGCTACCCCCTATCCTACAACTCTAATGCTAGACCTCCACACTTTTCTATCAAGGGCAATGTCCTCGGAAATCTGAAGCTTCGCCATGTCCTGCCTGATCACCTCTCCCCAATACTTCTTGGGCTGTCCTCTACCTCTTCTTATACTTGTCAAAGCCAACCGCTCACATCTCCTTACTGGGGCGTTTGGACTTCTCCTCTGCACGTGCCCGAACCATCTGAGCCTAGCTTTCCGCATCTTGTCATCCATCGGGGCCACGCCCACCTTCTCCCGAATATCTTCATACCTAATCTTATTCATCCTAGTGTGCCCGCACATCCACCTCAACATCCTCATTTCTGCTACTTTCATCCTCTGGATATGCGAGTTCTTAACCGGCCAACACTCTGCCCCATACAACATGGCTGATCTAACCACCGCTCTATAGAACTTACCTTTGAGCCTCAGTGACACCTTCTTGTCACATAGGACTCCAGATGTTAACCTTCACTTCATCCACTCCACCCCTATACGGTGCGCAACATCTTCATCGATCTCCCCATCCCCCTATATAACCGACCCAAGGTACTTGAAACTGCTTCTCTTGGGGATGACCTGTGATTCAAGCATCACGTTCACGCCCACTTCCCTCGACTCGGCGCTGAACTTGCACTCTAGGTATTCTGTCTTAATTCTGCTAAACTTGAAACCTTTAGACTCAAGGGCCTGTCTCCAAACCTCCAGCCTCTCGTTAGCGCCGCCTCGCGTCTCATCAATCAGAACTATGTCGTCAGTGAATAACATACACCATGACACCTCCCCTTGAATATGGTGCGTCAGTGCGTCCATCACCAGTGCAAATAAAAATGGGCTAAGCGCAGATCCTTGGTGCAGCCCCATAACAACCAGAAAATGCTCTGAGTCGCCTCCCACCGTCCTAACCCGGGTCTTAGCTCCCTCATACATGTCTTTAATCGTCCTGATGTAAGCAACTGGCACGCCTTTCGCCTCCAGGCATCTCCAAAGAACCTCCCTACGTACCTTGTCATACGCTTTCTCCAGGTCAATAAACACCATGTGCAGATCCTTCTTCCTATCCCTATAATGTTCCACCAACCTCCTAATAAGGTGGATAGCCTCCGTAGTTGAACGACCCGGCATGAACTTGAACTGGTTATCAGATACAAACACAGTTCTCCTCACCCTCTTTTCCACCACCCTCTCCCAAACTTTTATGGTATGACTTAGTAACTTGATACCCCTATAGTTGTTACAATTTTGGATATCGCCTTTGTTCATGTACAATTGAGAAATAGTAACATGATTAAAAAAAAAGTCAAGAAAGATACAAACGTTGAGAATATAAAGTGGTAAAATAAGCATTTTAAAAAACTCAATTGAGATAAGAGGGTAATAATGTCTATTATTCAAATTTGGAGCGAGAGTTTATGCTTTAAAGCAAAGTTCGAGATTATAAATTATTTTCAGCCATTTTCTTTTTTCTTGCTCATAAATACTATTACTTGTAATAATATGACATTATTTGTTAGCAACAATTGACGGAGAATATAAACGTTTTAACGTGGTTTATAGACGCGTGAATTAATTTGATCCAGAAATATGAAATAAACAGGAACAAAAGTAAGATTATGAATTAAATTTGAAGGAAATACAAGCCTAACTATGAACTTAGCCTCTCCGGTAACAGAAGTGAGAACAATATTCAAGAATAAAGACGAAAAATAGTATTATGAGATGAGAGCTGACTTAAGCTTTTGTGTACAGAATGTTTTGTGTCCACAATGAATGCTAATTCTCCTATTTATAGCTTTATTTTGGAAGACAAGTAACCAAATCAAGCTCCTCTTAAATGAGAATAAAAATGTCATTGATGGATGCATAACAATTGGTTATAAATGCAAATATTCTTTGTAACGGTTGCTCATTGAATGCTAATCGGTGTCAATTCTTTGAATCTTTATCATCGGCTACTCTGTCTTCGAGATTCATCTAACATCAGTCAAATGCTTGCAACCGGCATCTACTATTTGCTAACTCACATCCTACCTGTCTTCAGCTCCATGTGTCACCTCTTCATTGTCATTAACTAATTTTACCGCATACAATTTTTAATTATGAGTAATATTTACTTCTAATTCTGACCACTATATGATGAGCCTTTCCAATTGAAATGACTCTTCATCGAGAGGCAATGCTTATTTTTTGCATATGTATTTAATTAGTGCTCAAACA